AGGATTTAACTAGATATAGAATTCTTGGTTGAAAGTCTTTTCTTTCAGCACTTAGAAGATATCATCCCACTATCTCTGGCTTCCATGTTTTCAGATGAGAATCCAACAGTTAATTTTATTGCAGTCCAGTAGTTTCTCTTAACAGATGATTTTCAGTTTGTTGTGAAGCTTTGAAGTTAAATGTCAGAATTCTAAAATTCATAGATTTTAGTTGTTTTGCCCATATTTTCATTGTTTGAAAAGGAGATAGAGTTCACTAAGGTCCTTACTGCATCATTTTGAGAATTGATTTCATTTCATATTGTTTTAATTATTTTTAGATAACATGTTTTTATATCTTATAAGGCAATTTTCCTTTATTTTTCTAGAATTTTGTAATTATTCTTCCGTTTGACTAATTTTTCAGGTGAATGTTAGAATCATTTGCTCAAACTCCAATTATAACTCCCATTGGTCATTTAGGATGCTATTTTTTAAATAGCTCACTCAACTTCTTAGAATATTCAAGCTTCTCATTCTCTTCTACTTTAATACTGCTCAGCAAACCTACTGAATTTTTTCACATGGATTTCATTGTACTTTTCCTAGGCATTGAAATCTTTGTGTTGTGACTGTGCACTGTGATTAATATGCCATGTTATTTTTATTTTTTAATATAAAGCAAACATTTTTCTGGGGGGAAGAAAAACTACTCATTTATATACCTAAAGTTAATGGAGTTAGGAGGGCCCACTCTGCAGCTGAGAGGTTATTTTTTTTCTTTGAAGCAAGAGAATACGCGTATCTTTGTTTAAGTTAAATCTTAAGTAGAACTTCAATACATTAAAAAAATAAAAGCAGAGTTGCCTGGTTTAAAAAGAGATTGAGGGATGGTCCAAAGCTTCGTGGGCTCTGCCTCCTGCTTCACTCCTCATGGTAGCCCCTGAAGTATTTTCCCACAACTAGATGCTCAGTTACCTGACACAAATAGGAACTCATCTGTGGGCTCCTTTGCATAACCTCTTGCTGTTTGTTTTATTTTTAAATACTTCATTCTATTTTAAGGTGTTTTTCCATCTCTATTCAATAAGCACTAACACATCTGAGTTTCAATGAGATCCTGCCTCACTGACTTAGACCACTCCAGTCTTTTGTCTCTCATAAGTCAACAAAACTGAAGACTGAACTGAACATAAGCTTGAAGATGTGGTGGGTTCCAGAAAGAACATGTGATTTCTGCGATACTTGGTCCCTATCCCACATCACAAGAGAGGGAAGTATTTTGACTCTATCACTTAGAAATACAGTGCCCAGTTTTCAACTAAATGAGTAGGTAGATTACATTATCTATGAATTTTACTTCAGAGTGGAGAGGGTATTATGAAATAGCTGATATACAAGGGGAAGGTGAGTCTGATAGGGCTTAAAATCATGGGAGGACAAGAAGCATCTTTAAAACAAACACTCAAAAACAAAATTTGTGTTCTAAGTCTCTACAAAAAATTTTTTATTAAAATTTATAAAAGAATTTAAAAAATAACAATGATATTTTAAGAAACTATTGAGTATTTAATGATGTTTTCAATTAGAAAAAACTTGAACCTTAAAGAACAGATTGCATAAAGTAGCTAGGGCTATAAGAGAGAAAGAAAATGGAGACTTGCTATATGTGTACTCATAAGGGGCTTAAACACTAACTTTTTAAACAAAAAGCAAATTGTACTCATTGTTTCAAAGTTTGTTGTGAGGCTAATTATTCACTGACATCAGACAGCAATTCTTACAAAGGAGAGCTTTTACTCAAATCCAGCCGATATGTTACCTTCTATGGCAATCTGTATGGGAACGGAATAGATCTAGCACAGTTTTACAACCAATTCAATATCTAAAGGGTTGGCACTAAGCAAAAATTTGAAGTAATCTATGCAGTATTCGAAAATAATTGAGAATTATGACAACTTAAATTACTTTCAGGAGGTATTCTCTTAAGATATAAGAAGGAGATGGAGATCTTAGAGGGAGTGGACACATTTACCACAGGGCAGTATAATCCACAGAAGAGGAACAGATACTCATTCCACACAAGACTATCATGAATAGCGTTGTAGGGAGTCTTACTAGTTATAATTCAAAGCTGTGAGATAAATTCTAATATTGACTGTGCACTTCTCTCCCCAAATGATTTTCTTCTCAGAAGTAAAATCAGGAAAGGGACTGAGTTCTGGAAAGAAATGGTGAGGCTGAGTCCCAGGCACTCAAATTGTGGATGTTGTTTCCCGAACCCCAGGATGGGACTTGCATCCCCACATTCTACCTTACAATCTCCTGTGTATGAAATACAATTTATGTGGTTTGTCCTTGGAAAAATCACAGTGGAGTCCGAGAACATTCTGGGGAATCAGTTTTTGTCCTTCAGTATCCTAAATTAAGATAATCTCAGCATCCAGAAATATCCTTTGTTTTGTTCTTTCTCTGATATCTTATGTCCTTGGGATCAAAGCCTCTTTCATTGGCACCAAATAATGCCCAGTGAGGAGTTTTGGCTATATAATCTCTTGCGCTGAAAGTTTTTGACCCACTGCTGTCTTCATATTCCTGGATGAGCTCCTGGAAGCGGTTATAATCAATCCACGTCCACCATTCTCTATCAATCTTAAACTAGAAAGAAAAAAAGTAGTCAGGTCAGAAGTAAAAACATCCATTAAAAAAATCAAATAAACATGAAAAAATGAGCCTGATCTTTTCGCCCTGTCATGTTAAAGAAAATTCTTTCATCCTCCAGATATGGTTCCATATCAAAGCAGAATGCACTATAATCAAAGGAGAGTTTCTTTTCCCTTATGGCTGCACCATGCTGAACCTGGCAGACCCAACTGCTGAATAAAGAATACATCCTGGAACTGAAAGTCAAGTTTATCTTGAGAAGTATAATGAAAGAGGGTTAATTAATTTTTTTGGCATTATCATGTGTTAATGGTCAAGCCAATTCCTCTCATTGCTATTTTTTATCTGGTATGAATTTTCATGGTTGTGTTAGTAGCACCTAGTAGAATCCTTTTTATTACTAAACTTTGCTTGCGTTAATAGTGATGACTTCTAATTCTGAAATGCTAACTTAATGACTCAAACTAGCCTTTTTAGCCTAACACAGATACAATATCTCATTAGTGCAAAGCCTTGTTAGGAATTTCAATTAAATAAAAGGAAAGAATCCAATTTATACTTTCTTAAGAAAATTGCTTCTAAAGAGTCACTGTAGAATAACAACCAGGAATGAAGAAAGTAAGTTAAGCAAGCTCTGAAGGAACTACTAATGTTGGAGGCTTTTAATTCAATGCATTTATTTGGCATTCATTCCTGTAAATGTATAAGTTGATACTCGATTTATAAACAGAGAAATCTGTTTTGCCACTGTCTTTTAAAAAACCCTGATTATGAACCACATTAAGTAACAATTTCATATCCTAGCTGAGGAACACATTGAAAATATATAAGTACCTGGATTTAGAATATTAAAATATGTTGAATTTAAATTACATCTAATTTAACAGGTTTTTTTTATTAAAGTACAGTTGACATACAATATATTAGTCTCAGATGCACAACATAGTGATTCGACATTTATATAACTTACAGTGTGATCACCACACTAAGTCTAGTACCCATTTGTCACCGTGCAAAGTTATTATGATATTATTGACTATATTCCCTGTGCTGTAATGATGTGATTTTTTACCCAATAGCTAAGAGCTTTCTAAGGGGAAAAATGCTAAACAAATGGAAAGCTTTATCTATGAATCATCAGAAATTTTCTTCTAATAAGATTACTCTTTGAAATGGTGCCCCAAGGGCACTATGAACTTTACAATTCAAGATGTAAAATCCTTATGTCCCCGACATTTTCCCTCCCAAGACTGACTGCTCTTGAATGTTCTCTGCTACTGTGAAAGCAATCACTGTCACCTCCAGGTACTGAACCTCAAAACTACAGTCAAAGGTGCTCTTTCCCTCCCTGGCCCCTCACATCGAAAAAACAGCCCACTACCACTGATTCTTCCTTAGCAGCATTTCTATCACTGTGCCCCAACACCACCCTAACACAGGCCCTCACTTCTGGGACTTGACAACAGTCTACTACCTG